AAATGCTGACTCTATGTAAAGAATACAAAGGTAATTGTGGTGCTCTTTTTGCAACTATTCCATAGGTTTTAAAATTTTCAAAACACGTTTTTAAAATTTTCAAAAATTAACATGTTGAGCAAAGTGAAAATGTAAAACTAAAGAATTCCATAAGGTTAAAAAAGACATTAGTATGACTTATAATTGAAGACATAAAATGCATTTCCCCCCAATTTTTTTAGGGCTAGAACCCATCAATTGGCACACCTGTCAATTATATTTACAAGCTGTTGATCCCTACTGAGCAGGAACTGTCTGCTCTATAGCTCAGCCCTTCAGTATTACATAATACATTCACAAGCATTCAGACTTCTAGAAACTGCCCATCTACACAAAACTTTATATTCTCCTATAGGACTAAGAATATTACTGATTTTATTTACAGGCGTTTAAAGCAAATATTCCTAGTGAATTTTAAAGACTGTCTAAAGCTATACTTACAGGCAGGCAGTCACTTAATTTCCTTAAGTAATGAATTAATTGACTGAAGTTGACTTGCTGTTTGAAATTTAACCTGTAAATAAATTTTGCTTAACTTGCTGAGTCAATTTAATAGATGTAAACAACTACTTTGGAAAACCAAGTTCTGACAAACAGAACAAAATGATCTACTGGCAGACTACCCTTAGAAACACACACAAAAAGCCCATGCAAACAGTGCCTATTAATTGCCACACAGTTAACGCTTACGAAAGCAGTGACGAATGGAATTGCTCAAATTCTCTTATGTTCAACCTATGTTACTGATTCAAGTCATGTTCTGGAAAACTGAAGTCTGGTACAAGAAAACTGGGTAGCCATCCAGGTCTATGAACAATTTAACCTGTAGCATTCTCTTGGAAGCTAACAAACAACTATCCTCTTTCCAGTTCTGTTACTGAATTGTTATAGGGCCTATTAGCTAACTTCTTTAAACCTCAGTATTTCCAGCTATAAAATGAAGGAAATTCTAACACTATCTCAAAAAGGTGGTACAGAGATAAATACAGTCCATTTTCCTAACTATGTAGAGTAAGTTCAAGAATAAAAGAGTGAACACAAAGCTTTCCAAGTATATAAATACCTTATATACAGTATATACTTAATTTTGCTATGAAATTTTTGTATCCTTTTACCTAAGTTTCCAAATGATGCTCAAGAAGATTTTATTTTTTAAATCTGTCATTCAAAAGTGGTGATGGGGTGGTGAACACAGTATACGATATACAGATAATGTATATAGAATTATACACCTGAAATCTACATAATTTTATTAACCAATAAATTCAGTAAAAAAAGAAAAGAAGTAGTTAGCAATTTTATGGATATTTTGTTACTGATGTCTTATTTAATTCTTTTGTGGTCAGAGAACATGGGGTATATTATTTCAGTTCTTTGAAATTTATTGGGAATTATTTGGTAGCCCTGAAAATTGTAAAATACAATGCTCCATGTGCACTAAAAAGAATGTGTACTGTGCAGTAATTGGATATAGTATCCCATAAACCTCAACCAGGTCAAATGATTTACATTGTGATACAAATCTATATTTTTGCTTATTTTTGTCCATTAATCCTATCAATCATAAGAGAAGGGTATTAAATTCTCTAACAATGAAAAAAATTGTCATTCAACCAAATAAAAGCATAAATATTCCTCACCTTTAAAGAATTTCTAGTGTATGTCTATTATGTTTTATTCACTCAGTAGGTATTATTTACTCAGTGATTGAAGAAAAAATAGTAGTAGTAACTCAGGGAAGTTTACCATTCGTGTCTTCTTGCTTCAGGTACTAGAAGTGCCTGACAGAGGTACAGTATGTTTGCCCTCTCAGAGACTCAGGGTTCCACTGAAGATCCCAAGAAACATTCTGCCAGAAGTCATACCTCATACTGGAGGCCAGGGAGGAACCAGAAGCTAGGCCTCCAGACCTTCCCATTTCAGGGGCCCTTCTACTCCCAAATTACATGCCTGCCTCAGAAAACTCAGTTTTCCCATAAACTGCTAGCTTCAAAATTCTTGATTAGCTTCAATAAGTCAAGGACACCTTGAGAGAAATAAGAGAAGATGCTACAAGAGCAGAAACTCTTGATTCAAACCATTTCACTTAGGAAAATCGGAAAATCAACATGCCTAGCAAGTGGGAAGCTAGCCAATTAATTTATATTTATTACACTAATGAAGTATTATATTATTTCATTCAACAAGTATCTGCTGAATGCCTACTCTGTGCCAAATGTCATGCTAAGCACTAGGTGAACAGACACTGGCTCCTGCCTTCATAGCACTTACACTCTCATGAGGAAGACATGGCACTAAACAAGTAAACATACATCTATTATTATAATTGATAACTATTTAAGGGAAAAGTAAACCAAGGTGTCATAAGAGACAAAAAGGAGGATTATTTTGGTTTGAATGAAGAACAAACACAACATTGAAAAGGGACACTGAACTTGAGCTATCAAAAGGATAAGAGAGCAGGACAAGGGGGAAAGTATACCAGGCAAAGAAAACAGCAACGCAAAGGCCCTGAGGCAGCAAAGGGCTTGGAAGGTTACAGAAACTACCTGACTGCCAATGGAAAGTGTGTGTGTTTTGCCAGGCTGGGCGTGGCTCTGCGGTTGAGCATCGACCTGTGATCCAGGAGATTGAGGTTGGATTCCTGCTCCGGGCACATGCCTGGGTTGCGGGCTTGATCCCCAGCAGGAGCTTGTGGGAGGCAGCCAATAAATGACTCTCTCATCATTGATGTTCCTCTCTCCCCCTCTCCCTTCCTCTCTCTGAAATCAATAAAGATATATTTTAAAAAGTGTGTGTGTTTAGGGGCTGAGGACAGTGGCAAAAGACACAGTTGGTGAGTATGTGAGGTTATACAGGGTCTTACAGGTCCTAGTAAGGAAACTGAATTTCCTCTAAGTACAGCAGAAAGCCAATAAAGGGTTTTATGGGGTGGGGGAGGGAGAGGAGTTGATTCAACTAACATTTAAAGACCACTCTGGCTGCTGTGTGGAGAACAGAACAGTGGGGAATCTTCACAGACCCCTTTCTGTAGATAAGTGAGGATGAAGGCCCAACAGAATGACTAAGAGAATGAGGGGATAAACAACACTTCTAAAAAGTTCTGCTGTGACAGGAAGCAAAAATAGAGCAGTAGGTGGCATGAATGTGGGGGCGAAGAAGTTTTGTTGTTTTTTTAAACATATCTTTATTGATTTCAGAGAGAGGGAAAGAGAGCTAGAAACATCAATGATAAGAGAGAGCCAATGGTCAGCTGCCTCCTGCATGCCCCCCAATGAGACTGAGCCCGCAACCAGGGCATGTGCCCTGACCGAGAATCAAACCTCGATCTCCTGGATCATAGGCCAATGTTCAACAGCTAAGCCACGGCAGGGCAGGAAGTTTTTAATACGGATAAATTAAAGCAGGTTTGTATGCTGACTGGAAATGCTTTAGTGAAGAGGGGGAAATTGATCGTGATGGCTTGGGCTAGAGTAATAGGAATATTTTTCAAGTGGCAGATTAAACTCCATTAGTGGATTGCAAAATAAATTTAGTGGGTCAACATTCAGGCAAAGTTTAAATGAGAAGAGACTGAAGAAAGAGGGAAGATAGGGAAAATATAAAATGAAGTAATTTAACCCAAATTACTAAATTATTAACATTATGAAGCTTAAGGCATGAGGAAACAATTCTTTTTCTTGTCTTAACTAGCCTGATAACTTAAACTCTGGAACTCTCCAGTCCTTCATCAATACCTAGACAGACACCAGTGTTTGAGCATCAGAACTGGGACACATATCAAACAGGCAGATAACCCTGACTACCCCCTAAAGGACCTCCTGGTGCCCATCCTCTAGACCACCTGATATCCATCATCCAGAGGGCCTGACATCTGAGAACTGTTCCAGACCAATCCCAGGGCCAAGAATGCACGACTGACTATTCTCAAGGATATGACTTTTACTGCAAGAACTCAACTTTCCCTTCTTCCTGGGAACACTTCTAGGTTTTTGCCTGTGTTTCCAATTAGCAACCTCTAAGACCCTTGAATAAATCTCTGTCACTTATTTCTAGCCAAAGGCTCCTCTTTTTTAGTAGGTTTGACAAGACAATATCATAGAGTACTGCATACAGCAAGTACTGTTTTGTGAAGCTTTCATTTCAGGCACATAAACATATGATTTGTGTATTTTTAAGTCTGAAAAACAGTGGTACATATAACCATTAAACATGAGGCAAAAGAACATAAAGAAAAATGTATTATTATTATCCGCACCTGAGGTTATTTTTTCCACTGATTTTTTTTTTTTTTAGAGAGTGGAAGGGAGGGGGGTGGAGAGAGAGAGAGAGGGAAACATCTATGTATTAAATAATCAGTGCCAAAGACGAACACAATTATAGGTATGCCTACGAATTAATGTCAGCCATGTAAAAACCCACATGCAGAGTAGCTGCAAAAACTCCCATGTGCATGTAGTACAAAGAGCAAACACGGATAAGACTGGAGTTAAACTTAGAATGGCTGTTACCACACACACCCCCGTGCAGTTTCTGCAGTCACAATCCAGGTTCGAGCACTTCCCTCTTCCCAGAACACCTCCCTCGTCCCTTAAAGGGCTCACTGCTCCTCCTCAAACTTGGAGAGCCTCGTGAG